ATAATATTATAGACCATTATAATGCTCTCATTTAAAAAGCACTCGGATTTTCTCGTAACTTTTTTGTATAGACATATAAATGACATGCTGGACGATTGCAAAACTGTTACTAAATATTTCTAAGTGAAATCTTGGACAAATAGCATACTAAAACATTGTAATGCAGTTGTTAATAATACCTGGAGTATCTAAATAATATTATAAGTCATTCTAATACTTTATTTCTTTTTAGTATCTGTATAAAATGAATTTTTACATAAATCTAGTTAAAATAAAAACAGAGTTTCAGAGCTTCAGAAAATAATATGCTAACAAGAAAGACTGAATTTCTTTACACTTATTAGTATAGCATCAAATTTTAGTAGATTTTTGCCTAAAGTAACTGTTTTAAGTGAATACAAATGGTGAAACCTTTAAATAGACACTGAATAAAAATACAACATGCTATGCAATGCAATGGACCATTCTTCACAAGTAATTAACTACTAAGAAGTAATACAAAATAATTAATGCATGTGAGAACAATTAGATGATGAGAGAAAGGTAGGAACACAGAACCTCAGGAATCGTTCCTGCCATGCAAAGCAATGGCTCACTCCCCACAAGTTTACTGGATATTTCCTTCCTGTTCCAATCCATTCTTCATGCAAGAAAGGCACCAAGTACTCAAGGTCAAGATCAATGATGTCGCTTGCCATTTAAAAAGAAGAATTGATGAGAACGTCCCAAGAATGCGGATTGCGCACTTGAATGAGTAACCTTGGGCCAAACAAGTCAAAGTTAAATTCCCGCATAGCTTTCGACTCCGCAAGTTCAGTTACACGGTAGAAAAAACGACTGCAGCGGGTTCGAACATAAACACCACCTCATCTCAAACCGATACACCACCGACACTGACCTACTAAGCCAATCTAGCACACCTTTCGATGTCCGGATGATAAGATGGCCTTGCACGACCAGGTCTGGATGCTTGAGATGGCCTATGTGACTTTGAGACCCTGAAATGTCTGGATGGCAAGATAGCGTCCGGTCAAATTTTCGAAATTTTTGTCCGGATGCAGAGATGGCGTCTGAGGGAATTATCCAGGGTCCTGGTCGTGCCCGCAACTAACGGTCATGACCACAGGGGCAACCTCATTAGGGTGTTCCGCCGGAACTAATCCAAATTAGGCCATAATGAGCCCAAACTTATTTGCCCTGGCCCAGGATTGAACCAAAACCTTCAGAAACACAGAGATTTGCGAGCAGTCAACTTAACCACTTGACCACTGGGCTTCACCTAACAATCCAGGTGAAAAAAAAACATTGGTTCATTACACCAGGTAAGTCCGACTTTCTAGCTTTATCAGTACCCATTAGAAGCAATTAGAAGTCCGCACTTTTGACCTTACTTCATACATTTGTAATCAATTCTAATTAGTCTACAAGTCCGGGTTATCAGCTTTCTTAGTAACTCTTCTAGGGCAGCCTTCAAGCAACATAACTTCAGCCTTTTGGCAGATGTAGGTGCTGTGACTTCTAGGCTACAAGCCCAGCTTACAGCAATAATTGTAAAGCACCTTACAAGTCCGAGTTTCTTCATCATTAACACCTCCAGTAGAGTATTACAAGTTCTGATCTACTGGGAGACATGTAACTTGTCTACAATTCTGGGTTATTAACTTTGTTAGTAACTATTGTAGAGCTGCCTTTAAGCATTACAAATCCGCACTTCTAGCTTACTTAGTAGGCATTGTAGCAACTTGTAACTAGATTATAAAGTCACTCATTTGGCATACTTAGTAGACATTCTAACAATTTCCAACTGCCCTACAACTCCGAGTTTCTAAGTAGTCTACAATTCCGGGTTATTAACTTTGTTAGTAACTATTGTAGAGATGCCTTGAAGCATTACAAATCCGCACTTTCAGTGCACTTAGTAGGCATTGTAGCAACTTGTAACTAGATTATAAAGTCACACTTTTGGCATACTTAGTAGGCATTGTAGCAACTTGTAACTAGACTATAAAGTAGTAGGCATTGTAGCAACTTGTAACTAGATTATGAAGTCATCCTTTTGGCATACTTAGTAGGCATTGTCACAATTTCTAACTAGTCTACAAGTCCGGGTTAATGACTTTGTTAGTAACTATTGTAGACCTGCCTTAAAGCATTACAAATCCGCACTTTCAGCTTACTTAGTAAGCATTGTGACTAGATTATAAAGTCACCCTTTTGGCACACTTAGTAGGCATTGTCACAATTTCTAACTAGTCTACAAGTCCGGGTTAATGACTTTGTTAGTAACTACTGTAGACCTGCCTTAAAGCATTACAAATCCGCACTTTCAGCTTACTTAGTAAGCATTGTGACTAGATTATAAAGTCACCCTTTTGGCACACTTAGTAGGCATTGAAACAATTTCTAACTGCCCTACAACTCTGATTCTTATAAGCACATTTGTAACAGTTTCTAGTATTGTTTTTGTAGTGATTCTTACAAGTGCATTTGTAATAGTTTCTAGTCTTATTTTTTGTAGTGATTCTTATAAGCAAATTTGTAACAGTTTCTAGTCTCATTTTTGTAGCGATTCTTATAAACTCATTTGTCACAGTTTGTAGTCTGATTGTTTGTAGTGATTCTTATAGGCGCATTTGTAACAAATTCTAGTCTCTTTTTTTCTAGTGAGTCTTATAAGCGAGTTTGTAACAGTTTCTAGTCTCATTTTTTGTAGTGATTCTCAGAGGCACATTTTTAACAGTTTCTAGTCTCATTTTTGTAGTGCTTCTTATAAACTCATTTGTAACAATTTCTAGTGTTCTTACTAGAGATTACTAGACACTATTGCAGGTTACTGGAGATTCTTACAAGTGACATCAGCTGACATATACAGACTATTGTAAGCTCAATACAAACTGATATTAAGGAGTATATTAGGAGCCAGTATAATAGGCTATTGTTGACTTGCTAAAATCAACAATATACTAAGAGTTAGTAGACAACCTTGTAAACTATTGTAAGGCCCTTATCAACTCACAGGACTTAGTACAGTGTGACATTGTAGAACACTTACTACATATTATTAGACGGCATACTAGGAGTCAGTAGAGAATATAATTTCTTATATACATAGGCACATTTGTAACAGTTCTAGTGTCATTTTCTGTAGTGACTCTTATAAGCAAATTTGTAACAGTTTCTAGTGTCAATTTTTGTAGTGATGCTTACAGGCACATTTGTAACAGTTTCTAGTCTCATTTTTTGTAGTGATTCTTACAGACACATTTGTAATGGTTTCTAGTCTCATTTTTTGCAGTGATTCTTACAGACACATTTGTAATGGTTTCTAGTCTCATTTTTTGCAGTGATTCTTACAGACACATTTGTAATGGTTTCTAGTCTCATTTTTTGTAGTGATTCTTACAGGCACATTTGTAATGGTTTCTTGGGTCAATTTTTGTAGTAATTCTTATAGGTACATTTGTAACAGTTTCTAGTCTCATTTTTTGTAGTAGTTCTTATAAACACATTTGTGGCAGATTTCAGCCTCATTTTTTGTAGTGATTCTTATAGACACATTTGTAACAATTTCTAGTCTTAATTTTTGTAGTGATTCTTATAGGCATTTGTAACAGATTCCAGTCTCATTTTTTGTAGCAATATTTATAGACACATTTGTAACAATTTCTAGTGCTAATTTTTGTAGTGATTCTCATATGCACATTTGTTCTTGAAGTCAAAGTAAGTGATCTCAAAAACTGTTACAACAAAAAAAAACTGAAAAACAAGTTGTATAGTTTTCATTAGTAGGTGAATTATAATATACATTTTAAATTGAACTTGAGCAACAGTGAGTCTTCTAAGGCTGATAAAAATTAGTAAAAACTGCCAAAAAATTGAAAGACTAAGAAAGTTATTACTAGTAGACATCTTCAGGCTCAAAAAAATGCCAATTATTATCTACATTATACTATATTGTCAATAAATATTAAATGGTATGCAAAAGGTTGGTAGGCAATATAGCAGATGTGTAAGACTCATGTGATAACATAACATATTATTGTTGTAAAGTGTGTTGCATGTTCTTATATACTATTATAAGATTTTTATAAACTACAATCAGATGACATCTTATAAGTAAGTCCAGAGTATAATATTATTAGAAGCTTACTATAGTATACTAATCAATATACCAGTTATAAAATCACATTACAAACTATTATAATGCTTTCATTTAAAAAGCACTCGCATTTTCTTATAACTTTTTGGTATAGACATATAGATGGCATGCTGAACTATTATAGTACTATTACCAAATATTTGTAAGTAAAATGTCAGATGAATAGGATACTGAAATATTGTTATGCAGTTATTAATGATACTTAGAGTATCCAAATATAAGACATTCCAATATTTTATTTCTTTTTGATATCTGTATAAAATGAACTTTTACATAAATGTAGCTAAAATAAAAACAGAGTTTCAGAGGTTTAAAAAAATACACTAATAAGAAAGACTTGAGTTCTTTATACTTATTAGTAGAACATAAAATTTTAGTAGATTTTCACCTAAAGTGACTGTTTTAAGTGAATACAAATGGTGAAACCTTCAAATAGATACTGAATGTAAATACAAGATGCTATGCAATGCAATGGACCACTCTTCACAAGTAATCAACTACTAAGGAGTAATACAAAATGATTAAAGCATGTGGGAACAATTAGATAATAAGAAAAAGGCAGAAACACAGGACCTCAGGAATCGTTCCTGCCATGCAAAGCAGTGACCTACTCCCTACAAGTTATATTCATGTAGAACACGACATGGCAGAGGTGGAACTTGCAAGACTCCAAAGTCTAAAGCTGTGATCTCTGACGATTCTGAGTATGTAGCGGCCCTCAAATATATTGTCTGTGATGCTAACCATAGCAATGATTCTTATCTTCAAAGTATTGAAATTATCAAGCACCCCTCTCGATCTGAGCAGTACATTTCTGCTCTTATCTGATGGATAATCGTGTATGAAGGTATCTCTTCCACTGGACAGGACTCGAAAGTCTACATGCTCAGTTGCTTTGAAGAAGAAGTGAGTGTTACTATAACTTTGTATTATGTTTACACACATATCTTGAAGATCATATGTCGATGTCGATGTCGACGATGATGATCTGAGAGGTATTAAGGTAGAAAAGGACAGTGATGCGAACCTGGATGATTCCAGTGTTGTTGAAATCGAAAGGTGAGTTGCAGTGATGTCTGTGATTGTGATTGTAACAGCTGTTTGAAGCGATGCAGCTCTTCCGGTAACAGACTCTGGAATACTTGGTACGCCTAAGAAAGGGTGCATATATTGATTACATTCCTGATGGACCATGCTTACATACTAAATTTCGACAGACGTAGGGACATTTTCACTCCGCAGCTGACCCCTAAGATGTCCTCACCCGTGTAAGTCTTATCTACAGTAACATACCTTGATGTAACATTATTTGATTTACAGGAAGTCTAAATCGTCTATCGCACATACCTCAGAAAGGCGTGCTCAATGGTATGTTTTAATATGTTTCATTCACTGTTTTATCTCACGAGCGATATAGTAGCTCCGATGCTAGTGATATAGCACCGTCATATGTTGGTTTACTATTTATCTGAATGTGTTGACATGATGTTTTGTAGTGCATCTCCTACAAAGAAGTCACGGTGAGTTCGTATCTTATTCGTTTACTTGCAACCGAGTTGAACGTATGTTATAGGGTTCTGCAGAGCGACGAAGTGGATATCGAACTGCAGTGAGTTTTATCTTTAATTTAATTTATTCCATCAGTAGCAACTGATACTACCGTCATTTAAGCACACCTACTAAATCCAAGCCTGTACCCATTGCTAAGGTATCTAAGGGAAAGTTGATTTTGAGGTATGTCACCTCCATTTGACTTTACGAGTGTCTAATCTGACATTGCCTTTGGTATGGTCCAGGCCATCTGATATCCATGGAGATGTGGCTGAGTACATTTTCTTGGGTTGATTTGGTGGGGTAACACTGACATCAACTTAGATCCACACCTGTGAAGCGTACTCAGGCTGCGTATGTTCTCACCTCATTTATTTACCTTGGCATATTATAATGGTTGCTTAAACTATCCAAGGCCACCTTAGCTGACAAAGATGATTACGAGGAGACTGATGATGATGCTATGCTGTTCGTACAGTTTTTTTTCAGTTTTTTTCACTGTTACTTATATTTGATACAGTGTATCGCTGAAGTCAATTGCAAACATGTCATCGAATGAGCTACATGCACTTATGGCTATGATTGATGCGAGTATGCAGACTCCAAAGTATGCACAAGATCCTTCTATATGATATAATGTGCTGATTCCTTGACAACCAGGACAAAAGTCGATCAGTACATGGAGAAGAATGTGAAGAAAGTACAGAGGTAAGCTTATGCTTACACTTCAACTCTTGTGACACTGACTTTCTTAATTATGACAATTTGCATAAGCTCTGACAAGGAATCAGAGGGCGACATATCACCCATGAAGATTGATGGTGCCAAGAATGGTAAAGATTATGATTCCTCTAACACCAACGATAATAACAACATTGCGGATGACTCAGATACTTTGGAGGACGATGATGCAGATGAAGACGACGAGGATCAGAATCACGACAAGAAGATGAGGAAGGGTGAAGTGAAAGGAAAAAAAATGTTTAAGTATATTGATGAGGATGAGGATGAGGATGGCAATTTGAAGGTACGTAAGAGTGGAGCAAAAGGTAAAAGGGTGTTGAGGGAAGAGGACAAGGATAACGAAGAGGAGGCTGATGAGAAGGTGTGGAAGAATGAAGAAAAAGGCAAAAGGATGTCCACGATGACCATGAGTGCTGAGGTCAATACAGTTTCGGATGACATTAAGAAGCTGATGCAAGCATATTTTATTTGAGCTCTTGCATTCTGATTTAGCAATATAGCACCAGTAAAGGAACAGACAAACACGGAAATATTATGTACGTCTTTTTGTTGTAGTAGTGAGGTTGATGCAACTAACCCCAATTAAAGCATAGATCACTCGCTTCCACCTGCCCCCAAAGTTTAAGTGTGAGGTGACCATTCCAGAGCTCCTTGACAGTGCTTTACAAGGAACCTATGAAGTATTGCCTTCGCTCCAGTACGTTGATGTGAAACTTGGTGTGTTTTATTATATGCTAACTCGACTTTGCAGGAAAGCAAGTTTCTTGATCTACAACGAGAGTGATCTTACAACTGTTCCGCTCAGCTTTGTTTATAAACAACATGAGAGGCTTCTACTGTATAAGAGGTGTGTCTTCTTTATATTAAATTGAATGTGCACTGATGGTTATCGCTTAGCGCTATCTGCGACTTTGTTACCATTTCTATGAAGCATGGGCTGTTTCTTAATCCTTCATGAGGAGATCCCCATTTCTTTGAACCTGGGCCTGTTGGCGACATTGTCAGCCAGATGGGCACTCATCAGATCTGCTTGATGTTTGGGTTTTCAGGTCGGAGCAAAGTTGCAGAGGTTGAGGCTCATCCCGATGGTGAGAAGTATTACAAGTATATCCGACTCCTTCCTCTCAACCAAGAGTGAGAATGATACGTCATGTTTATGGGTACATATATCGGTCAAGACGGGTTTTATGTGCCTACAGGGAAGAAGCAAGTGAGCTTGGAGTTCTCTATGAAGTGGAGGAAGATGGGTGCTGGTAATGGTGAACATGACGATGAGCATGAACTATTCACAAGTAAGTTTATACCTTCATGTGATAGTCCTTTGCTTTTATCTTACATCTTGCCAGTGTTGAAGGGCGCAAAGTTTAATAAGTCTCAAAGTGGACACGCCAGCAGTTCTCATACACCGGGCAACATCATCACTGGGCATTGGGACCAAAGTAAGTGGTTTCTTACAGATCATACAACACTTGAGCCTTAGTCAATACACAGTTGCAGTATATGATTGTACCAAGTTTTTCCAGGGTAAGGATAGTTGAAAGCTTAAGGAGCCCTTCAATTTAGCAAAGGTTCGTGCGACTTGTCCTTTGTGAAAGAAGGAGGTACCGGTCGGCTCGTTTATTTGCATTCTTCACTCGCCCATCAAATGGACAGCTGCAGCTAAGACTGACAATCCCAAGTTGTCTCTGTCATTGAATTTGCTTGCTATTTGTATCATCAGTTCGCAGCTGTAGTTTCCGTAATGTACTATGTGTCTTCAAAGTAGACCAGAATATCAAGTTTGTCGCATCACGATACTCAATTATTTTTATAATGTGTCTGTGATAACAGTTGTATTAAAAACCGATGTGACTTGTACAAATAGCTATCAACAGATGGGTGGTTGTGGCACTTAGATTAGATAACAGATATCAGCTGTACTTCAATATACAGTGCAACCACAGAGGCACGTGGATGTCAATATTAAGTGCAATGCGGGTATGCCAAATGTGGAATGCTCTTGTGGTTGTGACTGTTAGCTGCGGGCACAACCACAGGGGCATGCAGATGTTTATATTGAGTGTGATGCGGGTATGTCAAATGTGGCACATCTCTGTGGTCATAACTGTTAGTTGTGAGCATGATCACAGGGGCACCTATCTGGAGTGCAATATCTAAATGGTCGGAAATATCTTATGTGGCACACATCTAGGGTTGTGTCCCTTAGCTGCAGTTCTGACCACAGGCATGTGGAAATGTGCGTATTGCCTGTGGGGACCCGTATTATAGCGGTCGGTGTGATTGCAATTCAGAAGGGCTCGTGATAACAGATAGGTGCAGAGCAGCAAGGTGGAAAGGGGATTTTTTTGACAGTGCATGAAGGGTATTGATATAAGTCACCATCTAGAGGATAGTAAGAGATACAAAAGGGGTGTATCTTCTGCTCCTGTGTATTGATCGTCTGCCAAGTGTAGGATGGCTGTAATACTTAGATTAGATAACAGATAACAGTGCTACTTCAATATACATTAAGATTAGCTTCCACAACTTGTTATAGTCAGATTTGTGCCTTGAGACTATCACCATTGGATTCAGGGCAAAAATTAGACCTAATTCACACCCTGAAACATTAAATTCTGTTGAGATTTGAGTGAGAAACGACCTCGACAGTGCAGAGATAAACCAAAAGAAAAATGCTTGGTCAGCATCCCAATCGGGCAACTCACTTACATAAGGTACCCATGACTCCCCGAGTCATGCTACGATTTTTTCCGCATTTTCCGCATTTATTTGAGGTTTCTGACCTCAAAATACACTTGCCGGAAAATCAGCTGCCTTTCAAGGGCTTCCGCGCGCCCCTGTGGTCATGCCCACAACTTACGGTCACGACCACAGGGGTGCCCTCATTAGGGTGTTCCGCCAGAACTAATCCGAATTAGGCCATAATAAGCCCCAATTTAATTGCCCTGGCCCAGGATTGAACCAAAACCTTCAGAAAGACACACATTTGTCAACAGTCAGCTTAACCACTTAACCACTGGACTACAACATGTAGAACCACTTCAGCTTACAAGTCCTTTCATTGGTTCATTACACCAGGTAAGTCCGACTTTCTAGCTTTATCAGTACCCATTAGAAGCAATTAGAAGTCCGCACTTTTGACCTTACTTCATGCATTTGTAATCAATTCTAATTAGTCTACAAGTCCGGGTTATCAGCTTTCTTAGTAACTCTTCTAGGGCAGCCTTCAAGCAACCTAACTTCAGACTTTTGGCAGATGTAGGTGCTGTCACTTCTAACTAGGCTACAAGCCCAGCTTACAGCAATAATTGTAAAGCATCTTACAAGTCCGAGTTTCTTCATCATTAACACCTCCAGTAAAGCATTACAAGTTCTGATCTACTTGGAGACTTGTAACTAGTCTATAATTCCGGGTTATTAACTTTGTTAGTAACTATTGTAGAGCTGCCTTTAAACATTACAAATCCGCACTTTTAGCTTACTTAGTAGGCATTGTAGCAACTTGTAACTAGATTATAAAGTCACTCATTTGGCATACTTAGTAGGCATTCTAACAATTTCCAACTGCCCTACAACTCCGAGTTTCTAAGTAGTCTACAATTCCGGGTTATTAACTTTGTTAGTAACTATTGTAGAGATGCCTTGAAGACTTACAAATCCGCACTTTTAACTTATTTAGTAGGCATTGTAGCAACTTGTAACTAGACTATAAAGTCACACTTTTGGCATACTTAGTAGTCATTGTAGCAACTTGTAACTAGATTATAAAGTCACACCTTTGGCATACTTAGTAGGTGTTGAAACAATTTCTAACTGCCCTACAACTCTGATTCTTATAAGCACATTTGTAACAGTTTCTAGTATTATTTTTTGTAGTAATTCTTACAAGTGCATTTGTAATAGTTTCTAGTCTCATTTTTTGTAGTGATTCTTATAAGCAAATTTGTAACAGTTTCTAGTCTCATTTTTGTAGTGATTCTTATAAGCAAATTTGTAACAGTTTCTAGTTTCATTTTTGTAGTGATTCTTATAAACTCATTCGTCGCAGTTTGTAGTCTGATTGTTTGTAGTGATTCTTATAGGTGCATTTGTAGCAAATTCTAGTCTTTTTTTGTAGTGATTCTTATAAGTGAGTTTGTAACAGTTTCTAGTTTCATTTTTTGTAGTGATTCTCATAGGCACATTTTTAACAGTTTCTAGTCTCATTTTTGTAGTAATTCTTATGAACTCATTTGTAACAATTTCTAGTATTCTTACTGGAGATTACTAGACACTATTGCAGGTTACTGGAGATTCTTACAAAGTGACATCAGGTGACATATACAGACTATTGTAAGCTTAATACAAACTGATATTAAGGAGTATATTAGCAGCCAGTATAATAGGCTATTGTTGACTTGCTGAATATTATTGAACAATATACTAAGAGTTAGTAGGCAACCTTGTAAACTATTGTAAGGCCCTTATCAACTTACATTACTTAGTACAGTGTGACATTGTAGAACACTTACTACATATTATTAGATGGCATACTAGGAGTCAGTAGAGAATATAATTTCTTAAATACATTTTCATACAATGTTATAGGCACATTTGTAGCAGTTTTAGTGTCATTTTCTGTAGTGATTCTTATAAGCAAGTTTGTAACAGTTTGTGGTCTCATTTTTTGTAGTGATTCTCACAGACACATTTGTAACAGTTTCTAGGGTCAATTTTTGTAGTGATTCTTATAGGCACATTTGTAACAGGTTCTAGAGTCAATTTTTGTAGTGATTCTTATAGGCACATTTGTAACAGTTTCTAGAGTCAATTTTTGTAGTGATTCTTATAAGCAAATTTGTAACAGTTTCCAGTTACATTTTTTGTAGTAATTCTTACAGGCACATTTGTAACAGTTTCTAGTGTCAATTTTTGTCGGGATTCTTATAGACATTTGTAACAGATTCCAGTCTCATTTTTTGTAGTGATTCTTATAAGCACATTTTTTGTAGCAATTCTTATAGATACATTTGTAACAATTTCTAGTGTTAATTTTTGTAGTGATTCTTATAGGCACATTTGTTCCTGAAGTCAAAGTAAGTGATCTCAAAACTGTTACAACAAAAAAAAACCTAAAAACCAAGTTGTATAGTTTTCATTTGTAGGTGAATTATAATATATATTTTAAATTGAACTTGAGCAACAGTGAGTCTTCTAAGGCTGATAAAAATTGTAAAAACTGCCAAAAAATTGAGAGACTAAGAAACTTTTTAGTTATTACCAGGAGACATTTTGAGGCTCAAAAAAATGCAAATTAATCTGACAAATTTGTGAAATAACAACTTTCATAGTTCTGACTATTATTGGTGAAAGCATGACACTTTCTAGTATGTCAAATGTACTTTAACTAAATTTAAGATAAAACATAGTGTTTTAAGATTCAGAAATATGAAAAAATAGGAAAATTTATCAGATGTGAAAGTTTATAGCTAC